GTTTCTCCCTAACTGTCTAGCTTGGAAATAGCTTGTTCACATGTCTACTTAACCAAGCACTTTGTTTAAAACCTTTCTGTGGTACTTACCATATTGTGTCTTCTATTAGCTACACACGTGATTTCTTCCCTAGGTCAGTTGTCAAAGGCAAGAACCATTAGGCAAAGAATTCAGTAAGTGTCTATAAGATGAGACATGGTTATTGGAGAAATGCTTTCCATTCTTTACATATTAGCCAAGTGAGTACTCAGAATAAGGTCGAAGTTCCTTGCCTGGCTCCCACACTGGATGGCATCCTGCTCACACGCGAGATGAGCCATCAGCTCACACCCGAGACCACAGTGTCCTACCTTTGTCTATGCTGTGTGCACTATTGGGACACTGTTTCCACCCTCTTATTAATACTCATGTGTACTCATGTGCCCTTCAAGACTCAGTTCATGTATCCTTTCTTTCAAAATCTATCCTAGCTTCCCTTTCCTCTGGACTTGCACTGCATTCTATGCATCCCTCTACCTGGACACCTGCCATATTAAACAAATACTCTGTCTAGGTGCCCATCTTCCCCACCCCTTGAGACTATAATCTTCTTGAGACTTCCAATTTAAAAAAATGTTTTTTTAATTGATTTTTTACAGGGGGGAAGGGAGTTGGATAAAGAGCTAGAAACATCGATGAGAGAGAAACACCAACGAGCTGCCTCCTGTACACCCTCTACTGGGGATGTGCCTGCAACCAATGTACATGCCCTTGACCAGAAATGAACCTGGGAACTTTCAGTCCGCAGACCGATGCTCTATCCACTGAACCAAACCGGTTTCGGCAAGACTATAACCTTTTGGAGGTCAGGGATATCTTACTAATCTTTGTTCCCTCAGGCCCATGCACAGTGTACATGTCAGTGTTCAAAAACACCTTTTATCTGAACACAAGCTCATTTTGAAACACAAAAGGCAAAGCAAGACACATATTGTTGGTTCCTGGCGCTATCATGCTAGCCAAAGCAATCAGAGGAAGGATAATTTAGTTTAGCCTCTCAGAATGAAATTACTAACTATAGGTCAGAAAAACAATGAAGAGACTATACGGCTTTTTGTAGGAATGGGTATTTTGTTTTGTTAGGGAATGCTGGAATTAAGACATTCAGATTCTGAATCAAGTATAAGAAATTATTATAGACTCTACTATTCTAATGAGAAAATTCTTGCTGCTGATTTATAAAAAATCCAATAACTAAGCCTCTGATATTCCATAGAGAGTCCAGTCAAGAAGCAAAGGAAGGCCACTGGTAAAAGCTTTCTTAATTGAGAATGGTGTACTACACCAGAGGCACGTGTTGAAGCAGATGGTCACTGGGTGGAACAACATTTCCTGTTCCACAAATCTCAGCCCAGCCCCTGGTCACTGCGTGGGCCTGAAGCTGTGCTTTGGAAAGTCATCTCCAGTGATGACTTGCTAGTGCCTGGCCAGACTTTGTACTGGTCACCAAGGGAACACCCACGGTTACCGGGATTACAGCAACCCCAGACAGCTGGAAGTGATTAGTCGATCAGAGACACACAGACTGGCAGAAGATGGCAAAAATGGGACCAAGTCAAAAACCTGCTCATTTTAGTTACAACCTAAAGATTCATATTCCAGATGAGGCTCTGTTTGTTCTGGTCAGTACTGTGTCTTTAACAAATACTATCTTTCTAAATTGAGTCCTGGATGGCCTACCTGAGAATAACACCTTTGTGGATTAAAAATAAAAACACTTGAAGTGGCTGTGTTGGCATCTGGATAACGATGCAAACTGTCTGATGAGTGTGTGCAAGAATTACACATTTTATAGAATGGTAGAGTTGGAAGATAATAGAGACCTTGCAGAAAAAAGGGATCTGAGCTTTGGATTCAGTCACTTGCTTCACTAGTCATGTCTTTCTAATCCTTAACTCTCTCATTATGTGGGAATAAAGTATTTTATTTCATAAGACTGTGAGAATTGAGATGACCATATGTTTCAGTTTCCCTATCTATCAAATGTAGAAAATGACCATTACCGGTTATTGTAAGGATTAACTAGCACAATGAATGAAAAGTACCTGACTGGGTGCCTGCCTGGCAGTCCATGCCAATAAATACTAAGGGAATATAATGAGCGTTACGATGAAGTTAATTCTGTACAGAATGCTATAAGCTAGGCACTGTTTGAAATGGTTTACACATATCTTCTGGGTACATCTTCCTAATTGACCTATTCCTCGTCATTCCCATTTTACAGAACCCAGACTATCAAGCTCCAAAATTGGCACTATTAGCAACAAAGTGATGATGATGATGATGATGGAAGAGAGGTTGATGATGATGCTAATATGTGAAAACTGGCACATGGGAACTGCTCAATAAATGCTTAGTATTATTAAAATACTCATTGATTTGTAAAGATTTCTAGAAACAGAAGTTCTACATTCATTTTAGGTACTCTTTCAAGAATTAAATCACTTTTATTCTTTTTCTTATATATTAAACTCTTTCTTGCTATTATTGAAGCCTATGTTTTCTTTCTCAGGTTTCTAGGAAAGAAGGGAATAAAAACCTTCCTGAAATAGTTAACTCTATTTAAGAATATTCAGGAAGCTATTAATCCCAATCCCTTTACATATTTTTATCAGTGCCAGTTTCTTGTTTGCTATCTATTTAATCTTATTGGTTGCTTTTCCTTAAGTCCATTCCAGTTTTCTTTCATCTCTCTGTTTGAAAGCAGAACTAGACACTGTTTTCTCAAACGGTCTCATCCATGTATGTTTACCAGAAGTCCTTCCAGACTATTAACTCTCCTTCTGCTATAAGAAGTCAGTATTAGGTCTGACTTCTCTTCCTGTGGCAGATCTTGTAAATGTAATCACCTATTTAAAAGGGTTGATCTGGGAATGATATTTGTAAAAGCAACTATAGCATGGTGCCCAATAAATGCCAATCTAGACATTTACTAGCACCAGATGATTCTGATTACCTCAATCAAAAATGTATTCTTGCCCTAACCGGTTTGGCTCAGTGGATAGAGCATCGGCCTGCAGATTGAAGGGTCCCAGGTTCGATTCCAGCCAAGGGCACATGCCTGGGTTGCAAGCTTGATCCCCAGAAGGGGGCGTGCAGGAGGGAGCTGATTAATGATTCTCATCATTGATGTTTCTATCTCTCTATCCCTCTCCTTCCTCTCTAAAATCAATAAAAAAATATTTAAAAAATAAATAAATAATAAATAAAAATGTATTCTTGCATCCTTTTCAAATACTGTGAATCCTCTAATGGTTCATTTATCCACACGGTAAAACCCAATGTAACTTGCCTGTTCTCACAGCATTCAGGGCTATTCATGATCGGGTCCCCACGGCTTCACCAGCCTTCTCCCCTGCCATTGCCTCCACCCAACACACGTCCTTAGTCACCCTGAACAACCTGCACTTGCACACACTGTGCTTTGTCTGGAATGTTCCCACTCTTAAGCACTTGGGAAATTCCTTAGCATCTTTCAAGAGTGAACCGAAGCATGACATTCTCCGCGAAGGCTTTCCTCATTCATCCCACAGCATTGTGCACATACTTCTCTACAGAATTTAGGAAGATGTTAGCTTGTTTGTCTTCTTTAAGTTCCTTCTTTGAAGGCAAGGCCTACATTTTATTTTTCTAACCCTAATGCCTGTTGTGCATGAGGAACTTAAGAAATAAATGAATGAGCCACATTCATTCTTTAGTTTTAGCACCATGTCCTATTATCCTCATCATTTTGGCTCTTATTCACCTATTGTCTTGCCCTGCTGCTCAGAGCCACCTAGCAGTTGCCTCAAGCCCAGAGCAATAAGCACTTGTCATGTAAGTGACTTCAGAAGAAAATCCAACCATTCGATTGTATACATAGTTCATGTTATCACACAGTTTATACAAAACCTTATGCTATTTTATCCTAAGTAACTATATGCATATGGATTTTTTTTTTAAATGAGCAAATGTCTTAATTCTTACAGTCCCTGGAGTTTGAAATTAGGAGTTTAGTTAATTATGAAATGTTTTCCTCTTCCTTTCCTCTTGGAAATGATAGAATTTTTCCTAATCTCCTGATGCAGTGTACATTTTTTTTTTTTTTAAATTGAGGCTTTCCCAGGGTTTTGAGTTAAGACAGTGGATTAAAACTGCATCAGAGAACTTCTAAACCCCAATACTTAGCAAATAAATAAAACACACACACACACAAAACAACACCTCCCTCCCCACAAAGAACAACTACAAACAAGAACCAAAGAGGAAACGAGTATAACTGAAGGTAAGCAACTTCAACCATTTCATGGAAAGGACAAAGAAGGTTCTAGAGTAGAGAGTGAAGAAGCATGTCATGCCTGGCTCCCAGCCCCACCCCCTTTTCCCTGAAATGTCAAAATATCTTTGCTTAGGAAATACTGAAGCATCTTAATTGATATTTTTTAGGGGAAATAGAAATGTTGAAATAGCAATATTTAGGGGGAAATAGCAATAGTTCTGGTGCAACCAATTTGTAAACTGCAAAAAAGGTAGGCAATATGGAAGCCAGGGGAGGGCGAAGAGGGTGGGGAAAGGAAAAGCCAGGAGGCATAGAGAAGTACAGCGTGGATGATCCAAAATGCTTCTCTGTCTCTCCCGTCAATGACAGTGAAGTGATTTCTAGAAAGAGAATTCTAGTTGTGAATTCCTAGCAAAAAGGAGGTGCACACAGGTCTTCTATGTGGGGAATGAGGACGTATGATGTCTTCTGGAGTTGCTGGTCAAATTACTGCTTCCTGAATAAGGGGAAAGTGAGACTAACTCTTTTTCCTTGGAGAACTCAACTAAGAAGCCATGGAATGAACTACAGCTTTATGCAAACATTTTGGCATTAATTTTTTCCTGATTGGTTGATTAGGGTTTGGATAATTTTCTCCTATAGTTCTGGGATCAGTTCAACTTTAGGCCCAGATTGTTTTCTTGGCCCATAAATGGAAGATTACCTGTAAATTATCCAGGATGATCCGGAGGGAGTGCACCTGCCTTCGGACAGCGCCTGAAAACCTTTCGTAAGTTGCGGCATCATATTCACTCATTTGGATCTCCTTCAGCCTGAAATAAAAGGGGCATAAAAGACAGCAGCTGATATCATGTGCATCAGTCTTTTAGGTCCATTCTTCTACTGCTAGAGCTGCGGCAAACTTCTGAAAGGTTTAACGGAAAGTAACCAACTTCAAACACTTCATGAAAAGGACACAGAACAGAGTGGAGAGGCATGTCATGGCTTCTCCAGGCTGCCTTTGAGGAGCAAAGCAGAAGGTGACATCTCAGCGAGGAGTAGAAAAGGAAGAGACTGTCCGGTGGCATGCTGGGAAATTGTTAACACGTTGCCCTCCAGGACAACAAAAGGTCATGCTTTGTAGTATTTGCTCATTTCTGTGGTGTAAATACCATGATGGATTTCAAGCTGCCAACAATGAATTCACCAACACTGAGTTAGAAAGAAATGTACACAATTGGCTCTCACACTGTTGCTATATCCCAAAGACGTGCCCGATGCTGGCAGCCAGTCAGTTCATGTGGAGGCTCCTAGTTGCTTTATAAGACCAAGGATGTATACTTGGTTGACTAAGTTAATAGGTCAGGCCCAAAGAATGCAATTAATGTGCTGCTATGGAAAATACAACAGTTTTCTGAAATTGCTGATGTACTTGTAATAGGATAATTATATTTTAATATTGTGGTTTTGAAATTCCTCCCTCCCAGTACAGTGCTCCTTTTTTACTATGGTTCATCATTTGCCTTTGCTGTGGCCTGCGATGCACAAGGGGTTTCCCGAACATCACATGCCTGTGCCCGGAGCTCCCACACAGGTCACTGTCACCTGAGAACCTGTCCCTGCCTCTCTGCCTACTAACTCCCACATACTCGTCAAGACTCAAATCGATGATCAGCTCCTCTGGGAAGCCTATTCCAATTCCCCGGTCTGTCTTCCCTTGTTACTTCACGCTATCACTCTCAGAGCACTTACTACCTGTCCTGTCTCCCCACCAGCCTCTATGCTTCTTTAGGTAATGGCTGGGTCTTTCTCATATTTCTATATACAGTGGCTAGCATGTTACCTAGCATATAATAGGTATTCAAAATAAACTGAAATGACCAAAATAAAAATAAGACTCCGAATTATTAAAAATGCAGCATCTTAAATTAATCACACACAAAAGTTCATTCACTGAGAGAGCTTTTCTTGGGTTTTGTAGCATCATATTCATAATACACTAAATTGATTATACACTCCTGGAAGTTTCTATAAATGTAACGGTACGGACACTAGGACACAGCACAGTCTTTTAAACTGCTGCATGTGGTTGCATTAGTGTGTGCACATGTGTGCAAAGTTGGAGGTATGGGTCCCAGGTGTGTAGCTGAAGCTGTTACCTAAAGTATATTTTTCTCACCTTGGGCTGCCGTGAGAATGGATGGTCTCTGTTCCTTCCTGGCAGGCCAAGCACATTTATCACAGGACTGAGTGTTTACCAGAATCACATAAAGTTAGGCCTAGACTGCCACAGGGAAGATTTGCAATCCCTGCCCTAACACCCAGCTGGGTTAGTTATTGCCAACTTAGGTTTCAAGACCCAGCTGGAAGGCTACCCCCTAAGGAATCTTGCTTGACCTCTCCAGTAACCTGATCACACCCCTTCACTGTCTTCCACAAATATCTGCTATAGAATCTATACACTTTATTGCCTTTAATAGCTATGTTTGTTTTCATCTGTCATGATGTTTTTAAACTTTATTTTCTACAATAATAAATAAGCTTTAATACACTGAAATACAGGATACACAAATGCATGTATGTGTGTGTTTTAATGGAACCAAAAATTTAATAAAAAATATGTTTACTATTATGATACACTGATATTCTCTTCGATTCCTCTGGGAGGAGAAATATGTCCTATTTTTTCTTTGAATCTGCAGTACCTAACACTTTGAAAAACACTATCAAAAGAGAAATACATGAAAGTTAAATAATATCTGAATGCTGTTTCCTGAGGTGACATGCCAAGGTGCCCTTCTAAATTTACTCTCTTTTCTGAAGAACAAAAACAAATATGTGTATAGGACTTGATCTCCTAACACTTCTCATGTTTAGCTTTGGCAATCTCTTAAACCTCTCTATACATTTTCATTAGATGTTATGTTTTAAGTATCAAGGTGGAGAAAAGCTGGGCAAAATGAATATTACAGGATATGCTATCTACCTCTTCATACTTAGCAGGCCAATATGCTTTTTCAAAGAAGAAAGATTAGAAAAAAAATTGTAGCCATAGCTTATGTTTAGCAGGGAGAAAATATACACATACACAAAAACTCACACTTACAGACACTCACACACACACACTCATTTTACACAATACTTCACGCACACATTCATGCACACATTCACACACACACACACACACACACACACACACACACACACACACACCAAGGAAGGAGCCAGGAAGTTGGTCTTAGTAGAGAGATTGGAATTAGCTCGTTATAGTGCTACCTCTGGCACAGCTACCTTGCACCCAAAACACACCTCATGCTCTTTTAATTGTGAAGAAATCTGGAAATCATACTCCAGACTTTGTGAGCTTTCAGAAAGATCACCTACAAGGTGTTCAAAAGTGATAAATTCTTAAAGATGAAGACTGAAGCAAGGGATGGGGAAAGGAAATAGTTAATTTTAGGCTCTGGATCAGACAATCTGTCCAGAGCTAATACTCTAAAGCCCACAAAACTAATTGAAAATAATCTTTCTGCCTCTTTACCCCTGACCAAAACTGCAGGGCACAGCTGCTTCCCATCCTAGTAATCCGTGTGGACTAACTGCACTCTGTTGGCACAGCATATTCTTACAGGGTATACTTATTGTTATGTAAGAGTCTGGGAATTTAAGTTTTCATTTTACTTTTTCATGTAGGTCAGATTTAAATACTATAATTTTGGATCAATTATGAGAAAAGCAAACATAAGCCGAGATCCATAAGCTAACCTCCCTGTGTAAGCCTGATTAGTTTTGCAAATGGTAGTTGGTACAATTTCCACCTTAAACATTTTTCTAAGCATGTAAGAGTACCTTACTATCTATTTCATCCATGTTTTGTTGGTTAATATTTCTGTGTGCTTCATGCATGTTTTATGCTTCTTGACTTCTGTTATCTGTTCCTGAGTTAATAAATTTTGATATATAGAAACAGGTATCTAGATGAAATCCAGATGCAAATGAGTGCTAACTCAATGCTGTGTGTATATGTCAGGAACCTATCAGTTTATTAGGCAATATGGTGGGCCTCTAGGCTGATGGATAGCTCTGTCTGTCTGATTTTAGCCAGAGTCTGAGTTGAGTATTAAAGGGGATACCATTACCTCTATGCAGGTGCACATTATTCATTCTACAAATATGAGTGTTTGCTGTGCATCAGGTTCTGGGTGTAGCTCTAAGGATATTATAGAGCAAAGCACTCTGCCTTCAAGGCACTTAGTTAGTAGAGAGGCAACTATTCATAAAGCTAATGATATATTGGAAAAGAGTGATAAGAACTGTGGAGAAAAGGGACAAAAGCATAAATGAGGACCTGACCTCATTCTGCATATGCCTACAGCTGCAAAATAACTTTAAAATAGACTATTTAATGACAGTGAAGAATTATTTTTTATAGATATAATAATATTGTGGTGTGTGTGTGTGTGTGTGTGTGTTAGAATTCTTAACTTTCAGAGATACACTCTTAAGTATTTATGATGAAAAGATAGGATACCTTAGATTGGCTTCCAAATAATCCAGGGGTGGGCACTGAAAGTAAAGCCAGATTTTTCTTTTTGAAGTTGGTCCATGGGGTTCATTATACATGAACCTACTTTTGCCTCACTCTGGATGTTTCACTCTACTTTCATTTGTGTTTGAAAAGTTCCACTGTAAAAAGTTAAAGAAAAATCTTTAGCAGTACTAACTTGAATACTCATCAAATGGGAGAATTTACTATGTAAAAGTAGAAAGCAACATTTTTTTCCCCTCTGTATTTTGCTATGCCCTTTCTCAGGGTCTCCATGTGTTTCTACTTCTTCCTCTCTATCTCATACCCTTTCCCACCTCCTGTCTCTCAGCCACTTCATGCCTTTCTCTTTCGCCTGGGCTTAGAGACTTCTCCACAGCACTGCATAAAGGTGGATGGTTTTCTCACTCCTTTCCCACTTTGTCTCTTACATCCTCTAAATTTAGTTGTGCTATCATCACTGATGCTTCTTGATCTTTTTCACCTGTGGGGCAATGGCCCTCATAAGAATCATGTTCCTTAACCCTATCATAGGATTCGGAACAGAGGCTGAATACTTGTGCCCAAGCACTACTTAAAGGCCTTCCTGCCTCTCCATGAACTACTCATGTGCCAGAGCATCTATCCATCTGTGCACTTATTCAAAAACTAAAGGCCTAGTATATAAAATTCGTGCACAGGGGGCGGGAGGGTGTCCCTCAGCCTAGCCTACACCCTCTCCAATTTGGGATCCCTTGAGGGATGTCTGACATCCCTCTCACAATCCAGGACTGCTGGCTCCCAACTGCTCGCCAGCCTGCCTGCCTGATTGCCCCAAACTGCTTCTGCCTGCCAGTCTGATCACCCCCTAACCACTCCCCTGCCAGCCTGATCAACACCTAACTTCTCCTCTGCTGACCTGGTCACCTGTAACTTCCCTCCCTTGCCAATCTGGTTGCCCCTAACTGCCCTCCCTGCCAGCCCAATTGCCCTTAACTGCTCTCTCCTGTTAGTCTGGTCTCTCAAAACTGCCCTCTCCTGCTGGTATGGTTACCTGTAACTGTCCTTCCCTGCTGGCCTGGTTGCCCCCAACTGCCCTCCCCTGCTGGCCCGGTCACCCCTAACTTCCCTCCCTTGCCAGCCAGATTGCCCTTAACTGTTTTCCCCTGCTGGCCTGGTCTCCCGTAGCTGCCTTCCCCTGCTGGCCTGGTCTCCCATAGCTGCCTTCCCCTGCTGGCCTGGTCACCCGTAACTGCCCTCCCCTGTGGGCCTTGTCCTTCCCAACTGCCTTCCACTGTAGGCCTGGTTCCCCCCAACTGCCTTGCCTTGCAGGCCTATTGCCCTTAACTGCCCTCCTCTTTTGGCCTGATCACCCCTAAGTGCCCTCCCCTGCCAGCCTGTCACCATAACTGTCCTCCCCTGCAGGCCTGTTGCCCCTAACTGCCCTCCCCTGCTGGCCTGGTCCCCTCCCCGCCAACTGCCTTCCCCTGCCAGTCTGGTCACCCCTAACTGCTCTCCCCTGCAGGCCTTGTCCTTCCCAACTGCTCTCCCTGGCAGGCCTGGTCCCTCCCAACTTCCCTCCACTGCTGGCCATCTTGTGGTGCCCCTATTTGACCACATGGGGGGGAGCCATCTTGTGTGTTATAGTGATGGTAATTTGCACATTACCTCTTTATTGTATAGGATTGAGACTGAATATTTACTTGTGAGGTCCTGAGCTTGGCAACAATAGAAACTCATTTGGGGTGGGGGTGGGAGAATGTTGCATATCTAATTGTTTGGTTCCTTCCTAAATGAATATCATTTATATGAAATGTAGAATAATATCTTAATTCTAACAAGACCTTTCCTTACAGTATTCCTCCCACTTTTTGTTTGTTTTGAGAAACTTAAACTGCTTGCATTCCTAAGAGAGTTATCTGTCCTCATAACCTCCCTGGGAAGCAGGGGGAGGAAGCCACCTATATCCAGAAGAGCAAACTCAGGCGTAGAGGAGAGATAACTGTTCAAGGTCACCAGGAAAGCCAACACTTTTGCCTTAACCACCAGTACACAGGCTCCTAAGGTTTGCAGGCTTTCCTGAGGGTGTGGAACATGAGGGAGGAACCTGCATGTTTATTCCCATTGTTTGCTCTATTTACTTGCAGGATGTGTAAGCACAGCATGTGATACAATAACAGATGTTCTACTCTAGGAACTTTATAGAGGACATACATTTGAGCATGCTCTTTTTTTTTTTCTTTTTTTTTTTTTTCCCCCTGAACTGCCCTCAGCCCCTTTCATTGGGTGCAACAACCTGAATCTGTCTTCCAAGCCGCCACGGATCCTCTCCCTCGGTCCTGAGGAAGACACTGCTGCTCCTCTTTTAGCTGAAGAGCATCACGAGGCTTCTCACTGTTTTAGAAGGTTCTGATCAAATGGCCCAGATGGTTCCAGATCATCTGAAAGCCACAGGTTCTTCAGCCCTGATTTCAAGGCCTCCACCAACAGGGCCTCCCGTTCAACTTCACTCCCCGACCCCCAGCTGGTGCCTTTAACCCGGAGCAGACACCATGCTCTCCCCATGGGTGCTTCTGCACGTTTGGCTTTCCCTTCCTGGATTGTCCCAATCCTGGCTGAGCTCCCAACAGCCCACTGAGGGCAGAGTCTCCTACCGTGTGGTTACACACTCACAGGAGTGAGTCTGAGTGAGTGAGTGTGAGGGTGTGTGTGATTGTCCTGCTTCACATACTGGCACATCTCCAAGATTCCTAAGAGCAGAAGGGACTACCGCATAGAATCCTTTGAATACCCTCTGTGGCCTAGAACAGATGTGGATGGAGTGATTTGAACTTTAATTTCTCTTAAGAAAAATATCTTTTGTTTTACTTCCTAATCTGCTCTGTTCCAACTTCTACACAGTCATAGGTAATCAATACAGTTAAGAGCCCGAGTAGAAAGAACGGGAAGTTATGCTCACGTGGCTGTGTCCATTAGGGAGGGGGAGGCTGTGGATTTGTTTGTGGTTCAAGTTGCCACATGAGGCGGAGATCCACACACATCTGGGTCGGTTCAGGGTCCAGTATGACATTTCACCAAAGCGGCCAGCGCTGCCCTGGAGGAATGGGACCACTCACCTCTGCCGAAACGCTTTCTGGCCCATCTCTCTCGCAGCTCTCTTCACCTCCTCGGGAACCGCGTCCTTCTCAGCCTCAGAGACCTGGTACACTGTGTGGCCTGCGTCCAGCCGGTAAGGACCTCCTTTGCCTCCCAGACCTGCAGTGTCTCTTCCCCCTGGAAGGAAGCCCAGGAAGCTCAGGTTGTTTCTCTGATCCATGACACCAAACAAGTCAGGTCATGATTCAAGGCAGTCCCTTGAAGCATATTAACTGCTCTCATCTCATAATTCAATACTCAAATGACCTTCTTTTGTAAAGAAAGGGTGCCCCCACCCCTGTTCCAGATGCTTCTCCGTTTCTCCAGCCAGGCAGATCTCACCCACATTTCACGGCCCAGTCCAATTCCAGGACATGCCATCTGTGACTCTGCCTCACAAGGACCAATGCTCCTGTGTACTCACTCTCTGTTAACCCTTTTTCACCAACTATACGATGGATTGTCATAGTTTATATATCTTTGTAAATCTGCACATAAAGAGTGATTTGAATATAAAAATTCTTAGTATATATTAATTAAATGAACAACTTAACTTTCTTTCCCTCATGTTAGTTTTCCTTAAAATAAGAAAAAGACAACTAGAGTATAGATACCATTTCATATGTTTAGCAAGTGATAAAAATGATGCACAGAGAGGTTAAGTGGCTTAGCCAAGATTAGAAACCAATCATTTCCCAACTTTGAGTTCTAGCCTAGAGTACTACACAACAGATAAACACTACCAGCTTTAGAACAGTTTACAATACAAACCCAGCTTACAAGCTTGTAAATGTGTATTAGATAATGCTGCCCATACTGTTTACAATGTAAATATAAATTAAATGCCTAAAAGACTAGGTAGATAATATAAGAAGTGGTGAAAACTTTAGCTAACTGGAGGACTTGCCTTGTCTAAATAAATTCAAATTATTTTTAAAACTACATAGACCTGCCGGGACCTGTTTGGCTCAGTGGATAGAGCGTCGGCCTGCGGACTGAAAGGTCCTGGGTTCAATTCCAGTCAAGGGCATGTACCTGGGTTGCGGGCACATCCCCAGTAAGGGGTGTGCGAGAGGCAGCTGATCGATGATTCTCTCTCATCGATGTTTCTAACTCTCTATCCCTCTCTCTTCCTCTTTGTGAAAAATCAATAAAATATTTTTTAAAAATTTAAAAATAAAATAAAATGTTTAAAAACTACATAGACCTAAAGAATACATATATTGACCAAGATTTGGTCTCTAGGTACCAGTTTATTACCCTAGTTTGACAATTATTAAAAAACTAGTGATCGTTTTCTTTTGTTCATTCACATATCATGTGGGAACTCAGAAGAGAATCCAATATTGGAGGGACAGCATCATATAATACAGTTTATTAGTATTGCATAATATTGTACTGTACAGTTAAGCCAGACTGCCTGAGTTGTTTTTTTTTTTTTTTTTAAATATATTTTATTGATTTTGTACAGAGAAGAAGGGAGAGAGATAGAGAGTTAGAAACATCGATGAGAGAGAATCATTGATCAGCTGCCTCTTGCACATCCCTACTGGGGATATGCCTGCAACCAAGGTACATGCCCTTGACCAGAATCGAACCCGGGATCCTTCAGTCCCCAAGCCGACGCTCTATCCATTGAGCCAAACCGGTCTCGGCAGACTGCCCGAGTTTGAATCCTCGCTCCAATGCACTGGTGAGGTGTCCTTGAGGGACAGTCCTTCCTTCTCTGTGTCTCAGAATCCTCATCTGTAAAATGGGGTTGCTAATATCCTTCACTTCATGGGACTGTCAGCAGGCTAAAATGCTTAGAACTGTATTTGGCACAAAGTAAGATTATATAATAAACAACTGGTCTCACTTTTACCATTTAGGTAACTTCCAGTCACACAAATGAGGTCAATTCTAAGTTCATAATGGAAAATTTGAAAGCCTTTAGGCTTTGGTGAAATTATGTCACATTTTTATTTTCTCCATTGGAGCTTTGGTTGGTGTAATAAGTCAAAAGCAACAATTCAACATGTACTGCTTTTCTTATCAAAGTCCAGGTAGGCCATTTCCTTCTGGGAAATACCATGAGAACAGCCCATTAATTATAGCAATTTTATCCTCTGGGTCGAGCACATCTTATTTCATCTTTCTTTAGATATTGGTGGTGGAAAATTCCTTCTTGGATGTGTGTAATTCCTGGCTCTCAAGTATGGAGAGCTATAGGCGGAGGGGACCAGGTCCTGGACAATGACAATGAGCTACAGAGGAGGAAAAGCGTTTTTGTGACCCGACTCCTTTTGCACAGGAGGTGCACCTTAGGAATGGGTGGGTCATGAATCAGAGTTGAAAACTTCCTAGGCGCTGAGATAACATCATTTTTTGAGAAAAGAACCCACAACTGTCTGGAGAAGGGGTGACTGATGGCCAGCATGAGTCACATGGTCCTTCGGGAAAGTCGTACTGGTGGAGAGGGCATGACGAGAGAGTTCTTCATAATCCCACTTCTAGGAACCTTTGATTTGTACTAATTAAATAGGAAAAGCTTTTGGGAGGTTCTAGACTTCACATCATCTTGAAGCTAACAGTGAATATCCTAAGTCAGTTCAGAGAAAAGTAAAGACTGGGCCAGGGGGGGCTTTGATGACAAAAAAGGAATCAAATGCCTGGCTGGGTCAGAGGTAAGTTCAATATTTGAGAACTCCGAGGAAAAAGAGAGAAAAAGAATCTGGAGCAAAGGAGCCTTGAAAATTGAAAAAGACTGTGGGAAGCAAAAGTAGGTTCTCCAGACCAGACAAATATGTGAGGTAGTAGATTCAAGTTGAATAACAAGCACCTCCACTTCCAGCTGCTAGGAAACCTACATCTGGCTAGCTCGTTCCACAGTGCATTCCATATGGATTCAATATGGCAGGTTTGAACCTGAACTAATTTCCAGATCAGAGGGCATTTCTAAAAATATCCTTTCTTTAGAGCTGATGCTTGATGAATAAACAGAGCAGGCAGCAAGGCCTACTTGATAGCACATTGTCCCAGCACAGAAAGCATTTCCTCCTGAGGCTGTCAAGGCCAAGAGGCACAGACCATCCTAAGGAAAGGCCAAGTTCGCAGCCCTTGCCAGCACTGCTCAGGCCGAGATAAGATCAGACAGTGCGCACATAGTCTGGCTGGATTCCCGTGGCCCAGCAGATGTGTCTGCTCCAGCTGTCTAGGGAGAAAGAGGAAGACAGCAGCCATGGGAACAATGCTCTCCTCAGGCAGCCAAGAGGAAGGAATGGACCCCGGCCATCGGTTCAAACTGCTACCAACTCTCTTATCTCAAAACCCTGCATTCTCGTACTCACTTCTGAGACGTGGAAGAGAAGCACCATTTCTTTTCCAAGTCAGTTAGTCAAGACAGGAATTACTATAGATTTCTGGCATGATCCCAAGGGCAGGGAATTTAAAAGAAGAGATTAACACTTTTAATGAGTACATTCTTCATGCCAGGCCCTGAGCTCAGTGCTTTACAATCATAATCTCATTTAATTCTCACCACAATCTTGTGAGGCAGTTAATATTTCCCCCCTTTCACTGACGAAGCAGCTCCGGGTCCAAATGGTCTCAGGTCATAGGGTGGCAGAGTCTGGGACTCCAAATGGCAGGGTTTTTCCATATTTTGATGCCATGTCAGGACACAGGGCAAGGACACAATCCCATTGACGAATTGGAGGCGCTGGTCCCCAAGCCTCCATAGGGGTGCTGCACTGTCTACGTGGGCTTGCGCAGTCTCAGGAAACCGGACCCAAGGGAATGCCAGTGCTACCAACCTGTTCCGCCAGCCCAAGTATTGCCGCCCACGTGGGGCATGTTGTCAGGGTCCTCCTTCCCATGTTTGGGAGAACTCACGTCTTCACCACTGTCTCTGTCGATGGTTATCTAAAAGTGAAGAATTGAGATCTTATCTCTATACCAGAATAACACCAAAACTGCAGGGCAGATAGAAGAATTTGTTTCCCCCCAAGACCTTAAGGTATCACATAACCTAAAACAGTGGTTGGCAAACTGCGGCTTGCGAGCCACATGTGGTTCTTTGGCTCCTTGAGTGTGGCTCTTCCACAAAATACCACAGCCTGGGCGAGTCTATTTTGAAGAAGTGGCGTTAGAAGTTTAAGTTTAAAAAATTTGACTCTCAAAAGAAATTTCAATCGTTGTACTGTTGATATTTGGCTCTGCTGACTAATGAGTTTGCCGACCACTGACCTAAGGCCAAAGGGTACAAAAGATACTGTTAGGATCTGGCAAAAATCTCATCAGATTTAACCTCCATTATGTCGGGAAGGAGATGAATTGAAAAAAAAATTTTTTAAGAAAAACATTTACATAAGAAACAAGATCTACCAGAAGCAGGGAAAATGGATCTCACCAGACTGCCTCTCTCCCAGAGGTTTAGAAGGACCACTGTTTACCTTTTTCTGCTCAGTCACAACAGATATACATTAACCTATTTAATTTCAAAGAAATCTCATTCTCAGGAAAATGTCATTTTCTATAAAATAAATAGAAAATACCCAAGAAATGTCATCTATTGTGCTTCAGTGACATATGCTGTATACACAGACACTAACAATAGCTTATTTATTTTCTGGACCCATTCTAATTTTATTATGGCATTTTTATTATGGCATCTCAATTTTAAAATTGGATTTACTATTCCTAAAATTCAAACAGAGTATGTAGCACTAAGCCTTCCGCTGTGAGAGCCTGTGGCTCCTTAGTCCCTACTTTCATTCAGCACAGATTTACCGAAAGGACTGATAACTACACAGGAATTCTAATCCCAGTGGGCAGTTTAGTAGATATTACTCCACAATAAAATGAACTTGAAGCAGTTACATTTCATGTACCCTACTTGCCTGTTCTCAAATGCAATGATTTTCAGGGCAGACCTGATCAGATGTTCATTTATTTGTTCAAATAAGACTCACAGAAAAATGTACTGGCAGGACATCATGCAAAGGACCTTGGTGTCTATAAAAGCCAGGGAGGATTGGTCTGCCCTCAAACTGCTTACAGTGCGGCAGGAGAGGTTGCAAATGGACCTGAAGTATGATGCCAGAGCAGTCTTTACAGGCTGACCCAGTCATTGTTAGGACATGGACTCTCATTCTGGATATTAAGATTATGAAGGCATGTAGGTAATTTAAGGTCTTCGCAAATAAAATGGCTATAAAGGATGAATTCAACGTAACTTCTATGGTCTTATATCCAGATGAGTTCATTTCAAATGTTATGACATTGTAAAGAGATTTCAATTAACTGGACCTTTCTGCCAAAAGCTTTGGCAGCGTTAACAGAATTTTTGCCGTAACCTCAGCATACTTTAAGAAAATTTACCAGTCAGGACATGACAATTGATATGAATTCTACTCACATAATCATGCTCTAAAATTGGGTGAACATAATTAAAAAAAAATTGAACTATGCAGGGTAGTTAGTAACATTTAGAGAACAAATAAACATTTAAAATACTTTCCCCAAAACTTGCCACCACTTTCCAACTTGTCCAGAATAATGTAAGAGATTAGTAGTAAATTAAAACATGTACACTGACTATAAGAATTCTAAACCAGCACTAACCAATCACATTTTATATATAGTATAATAGTAGCTATTGAGTATCTGAGTAGCTCCACAAGCACCACATCCAAAGAAAGACCTCAGCAGGCACAAGGCCCTATTGAAGCAAATTCCTCTTTGTGGGGTTAGCTGCCTCACAGCAGCTCACACACTGAGGTAGGGGATGATCCTAATAACCAGCTAGAGAGGCAACCCCACCCCAAATGAATTAACAGCAATTAAGACTCTAGTACAACATGAGGGCTCACATAACCCACATGCTGGACACTTAATTCTGGTGATCAGGGAGATTGTCCTACTGAGTCCCATTAGACTTTTATCACATACGGCCACCATACCAAGACTGCAGGACTGAAGATTTACCTAATACACAGAAACAAATACAGAGACGCAGCCAACATGGGGAGACAAAGAAACATGCTCTAAATGAAAGAACACAAGAAAACCCCAGAAAAAGAACTAAGTAAAATGGAGGGAAGCAATCTATCTGATATAGAGTTTAAAACAATGGTTATAAAGATGTTCAAGGAACTAGTGAAAAAAATTTTAAAATATTTTATTGATTTTTTTACAGAAAGGAAGGGAGAGGGATAGAGTCAGAAACATCGATGAGAGAGAGACATCAATCAGCTGCCTCTTGCACACCTCTTACTGGGGATGTACCCGCAACCAAGGTACATACCCTTGACTGGAATTGAACCTGGGATCTCTCAGTCCATCTGCCGACACTCTATCCACTGAGCTAAACCAGTTTTGGCGGAACTAGTGAAAATTTAAACAAAGAAACAGCAAGCATAAAATAGGACATAAGAGCCATAAAAAAACCCAGAAATTAAGAATACTCAAAAAGGAATAAACATCAGGTTAGATGAAGCAGAGGATCAAACTAGACAAGATAGTAAAAAAAAACAACACACAATCACAGCAGGAAAAAAAGAAAAATTTCAAAATAAAGCATAATCCAAAGGATCTCTGGGATATCAAGTATTACAATATCTGCATCATAGGGGTACCAGAAAGAAAAGCGAAAGAGCAAGTGATCAAGAACCTATTTGAAGAAATAATGGCTGTAACTTTCTTAACCTGGGAAAGAAGAAGACATACATGTCCAGTTCAGGTGATCAGGCTACTGAGCCCTACAGGCCAATTCTAAGAGATAAAGTTCAAAAACAGTCTGAGCAGTGATAGAATTATTGGAATAACTGTTCTGAATACCATGCTTCATTTTGGTGTGTGTGTGTGTGTGTGTGTGTGTGTGTGTGTGTGTGTTCAGGTACATTGTTTAAAAATCAAGTGAAAAAATGTCACTTTTTGATGTAGAAAACAAATTTTTGTGTCTTGTATCTTTATTTTCATAAAAAAAATAGTTATCTCCTTTAGAGATTTCACACAATGCAGTAATTCTGCTGTAAGAAAATAGTCTTTTAAGAACCATTACTAAAAATGTTGGCACAAGGCAAAAGAAAAAGCCTTCAAATTGCCTCACCTCACTTACCTCAAAAATCCTGCTCTTGCAGTTGCAAAGACACCTACAATGGGCAGGAAATTGGCTATGAAATTCCTGGGCAGAAAGGAACTGGTGTGTTCTTTGTCACCTATGTCCCTTGCCAGGCCATCTGCTGCGAGATGGCATTGCTCACATTGCCAGCAAGGCAGTCCACACCAACCCCAAATGGGTTTCAAAATTGACAAATTCTTAAAAACAATCATCAGCCCAAACTGATTTATTCCAGAGAAACACATACCATAAAATCCAGGGATTTTCACAGGAATCTATTTCTCTAGATGGGGGGGAGGGCGCATCTGCTGAGGGGTTTTCAAGGCCATTTTAGGGCATCTCTTACATGAAGTGACAATGATTCATGAACGATTCGAGTTGGGAAGTCTTAGACAGTCTGACCAGGACTGTCCCCAGAAACTGAAGCAGACCCTAGGGCAGGCCTGGCGTGTGAGGAAGCGTGTTTCCTGGGGACAGACGTGTGTATAGAACCCGGGTCAGAAAGTGGATAAATTTCCGAGTGCTCTGAAGTGTGTGTGGAAGACTTGGGATGCATTTCCTCTGAGGGTTGGTTTCACCTAGAAAGAGCTCAAAAAAAGTCATTCCAATTCCTGAAATAGACACTTCCGTATTTATTCACTTAAATGGGCCAAAATTTTCCACAGACCACAAAATATTGAGAGCCTTACATCTTCTGATGCGACTGATACACATGCTGAGACCTTGGATGTGTTTCTCATACCTGACACAATTAGGTAACCATGCTGCAATCCTAAGAATTGTTATCCTCTTTCATATGAATTAAAATGGGAAAAACATGGACCTTGTGAATTTTAACTCATAAAAAATGTTCCAGAGTACAGCAACCCAAAGCTAGAGCGGGGAAGGGACATGACTCACTAAAGCCCTATAATTCTGGGCAAGGCCCATATATTTTAGGCTCCTCCTCAAGCTCATAATTTTTAAGAGCCATCAGTAAAATGATGTAAATTGCCAGAATACAATCCTGAAAGAACAGTTAGGCGTGGAACGATGACTGGACAGCACAGCTGATTCCCATTTTGCAGCGGAGACTAGGTGGGGCTCAGCAGACATTCTTAGTTACCTACCCAACGCCCACCCTCTTTCTTCTTTCTAGCGGAAGTCAGCTGAATCACGGTTGGCTGGAATTAAGCACAGCAATCTCATTCCCCTTCGCCAGTGTTGGCCCAGGGTAAAAGGCATGTGATCTCAGATGTAAGAGAAAGTCTGTCAGGAGGTTCCTGGGAAAGCTGTAGCCTCCATCTGGCGACCGTGTGGCGACGAAAGACGGTGGCGGAAGAGCCTGCCTGCCTGATGGCATTGCTGAGCGGCTGAACCAGCCGGAGTCACTGACTCTGATCTTCCAAATAAGCAAATAACAAATGTCCTTTATTATACTTTAAGCTAGTTAGTTGGGTGTTCTGCTGCTTGGAGTCAATTGCATGAAAACTAACTGACTCATGTATAATATTAAAGGATGAATGAGAAGCAGCAGGGAAGGAGTTATTATCTTGACCTTTTGCAGGGTGTCCGAATTCTAACAAGATGTGCTTTGAATTTTCTGATAACAAACGTTGTCACTATAATATCAGACAGAAATCCTACTGATTACAGTTGCCCAAGATTTTCTTGATTGATTAGCAGACAAATGAATGCACTCATTCAGCTGAAACCAGTTTGGCTCAGTGGATAGAGCGTCGGTCTGCGGACTGAAGGGTCCCAGGTTTGATTCCGGTCAGGGGCACATACGTTGGTTGCGGGCACATCCCAGGTAGGGGGT